TCCTTTGCGGAATTGTTACGTTGACCGAGAGACCTCATAAAGGGATGAAATTCGTCATCTGGATGCATTTAGCGATCGATCAGAAAAGTGGCGTCTGGCCACAGTTTCTCGAAATTCCCGTTTATTAACATTCGAACGAGCAACGCCGAGGTCGACGTTGGCCGTGACTGAAGCAGCGAGGAAGGAAGGAAGGAAGGAAGGAAGGGTTTGGAGCACGGTATAATAAATGCCCCGCATACCTACTTATTACTCTAACGAGCGGACGCTTTTGCATCGCGCGGCTTCGCGGCACGCGTGCCCTCGGTCACGGAACGCTCGATGATTTACCGACGCATCACGTGCACTCGCGCGACTCCTCAAGAGGCTCAAGAGTACGTCTGGTCTATGCGTCTCTGATTGTTTTATCGATTTGCTTCGTTAAATTAAACCGCTTGTTTCCCGATCCTTAGACATGAATTAATGATTTAATCTCAACGTCTCTTCGCCATAAGATGCGAAGAAGATGTCCTACATTTCTGCGATGTCGCGAGATCCTTCCTTGATTGCACTTGTTTTTTGGTAAATTAACAAGTCTGAAAGAAAGCACAGACTTTTTCGTAATACATAACGCATGAGAGAATCAATCAATATCCTTTATTTTCATCCCTACTTTTAGTGTGTTAGGTCTTATGCAAAAGTTTGTGCTGCAGCCTTTATACTGCGACCAACAATCTTCCTATATTAAAGAGGACCTAAACCGAGGATCAGAATGTATGCGCTATAATTCGATTTATTTGTTTGATTGTCTCAATAAACAGACATTGATTTTCATCAATTTTATTTCTTTCTTGATAAAAAAATTAACATTCCTTTCAAAGATTTGTAACTTAAAGAATTTAAAGTTCCTGAGATTCCAAGATCCTACAGCTCCTCTACGTGATTCAAAAGTGCATGATTGGAAAGAAACTAATTAGATTCTGCTTAGAATTGACTAAAACTACAAACTGTAAAACTACAATTAACTAATGGGTCGATTCTAAGCAGAATCGTAAGGCTCGTAATTCATTCTCGTAAAACTTGTAAGAACTTATTACTGATTTGTAATTCTTTGCGTATGTATCGTAAGACGTATTACTATCATTCATAAATATCTACTATTTCTCGCAAATGTTAATTTTAAAGAAAGCTTTACGCCTTGAAAATCTTCCGCTTCTTCTTAGAAAACAATGAAGAACATAAATCGGTTCAACAATTTTTACTTTCCCATTTGCAGGGAAAATTGCATTAATTTTTCCCGAGCAAGCAAGAAGCTATCTAAAGATATTGCATAAAGTTATAAGCACTTGTAAGAGTTTAAATCTTAGAAGAACATATCACGAGCCTTACGATTCTGCTTAGAATTGACCCGTAAGGATCTGAAGTAACAAGATATCTAAGCAACTTATCGTTGCGTGACGCATCAATCGCGTCGGAGCACCGGTAAATCGGCCGGAATTTGAGGCTCATTAACGGGCACAGAGTATATATATCGGAAGGACGTGGTAGAATGGCGGGATCGAAAGTACGAGCTTCCGGCTCCGTTCTTCAGCGCGACGCCGGAGTCGCTGCGATTGCTCGCTTCTTGCATAAAGCGGGGGCCGAAGGTGTACACGGGCGCGGCGGTATCGGTTCCGAGAAAGGCTTATCAGGCCGCGGATATGTTAATGGCGGCCGTGTTGCCTCCCTCTCCCGGTCCCCACTTCGCCACCTCTTCGAGATATATTGCACCCCAACCGTCGCACGACGGAGGTGGTTGGACGCTCGTAAAGGTGGTAGTCGTAAGTGCAGCCGAGGCGCGCAGCCCTCTTTCCACGATCAGCAACGTATGCATGCACATGCAATTAAGAGTGCTTCGAGTCCATGACGGGAGTCAATGAAGATTAAGTTTTCACTTGATCGTCAGGATATTAAAAGATTAAAACGATATACTGCATTAGAATTTTAATTTTTTTACATGGAATGGACGAATTTATTAAAATACCTAAAAGTTTAGCTGGATATAGATCTGAAAATAATTTTATCAGATTATCAAAGTAATTGTGTAAAACTCTTAGAAGTTGATAACAATGTTGCAAAAAGTTTTAGTTCTAACAATTAGCGTCGTTTATTTCTAATTTTCCTATACCTAATTATTATCCTACTATTATCTATTATCCTAATAATATCCTATTCTACACAGAAAAGATAATCTTAAATAGAATTTCCAAATTGCGAAATGGATGTTTAAATTTTCTTTCAATTTTTCCGCATTTAGATTTCATTTTAAGATCTCACTCGAAACTTCTAATTTGTATCTTTATGATAAAGAATTTTTTTTTCGAGATCTTAGATCTCAAAATCTTAAATCTCTTTTGCCAGATTCTTTAAAATTCAGCGTATTTAGAGTTGTGAATATTTGCGTATTCTCTTCGGGAGGATAACCTGAAATTTGGACTATTTCAAAACCTTTTAAATCCACGGTACAACCTTTGTACTCTGGAATTTTTAGACATGGTAGGATTATCGAACGTCCAGATCCTTGGATCTCCGAGCCGATCGTGAGTCCAATCCACAGTCGGAGATCATCTCGAAATCTCCCGCTCGATAATAGAACCTCAGGGGAGAGGGGAAGGGAAGGAAAGGAAACCAACCGTGTGAGATAAGAGGACTTATCTGCAACCTCCATCGTACACACCTCTCGCTTCAATCATAAGATAGAGAGATCTATCCGCGGCCTTCTCTCTACCGTACACCTCGCCTATCCAATCGTACATCTAAGATCACGAGGTGGAGTAGGAGGCAGAAGAAGAATAAGACGAAGGAGCGGACGAGGGTCGCGTATATGAACTCGCAGACGTCGTCGCTGGCGAACGTATGCATGGCTGCGCAATTAAGGCCCGCGATCGCGCTCGTTCTCCGAGAGGGACAGAAATAGATCGCAGGAGAGAAAAAGGGAGACTGCCACGCCGTGCACTGCCACACTCTGCCACGCCACGCCATGCTACGGCCGATCCATCGATGACCGCTTATTTACAGAGAAGCAGAGAGGAAGGAACACGATTCGAATGTAGATGCGAGCGCGGGATAGCCCACGAGGTGCGCTCTGCAACCCTTTGCCCAATCTCCCTAGGCATCTCTCTCTCTCTTTCTCATTCTTTCTCATTCTTTCTCTCTTTGAGTCCTCCCTCACGTCACAGCCTCCCTCCTTTGTCACTCTCCCTGCCATCCTCCGCTTCTCCTCGTTCGAAGAAACAATTAAAGCATCTGGGTAATTCTTGAGTTCTGATCTCGACGATCCACCTGGTAGATCATTCGGTCTGTTCTCGGGGTCTTTGATCGATCAGAAAAAAAATCATGAAGTGTTAAATTGTATTGGATTGGGACAAAAGTTTGTAACGAACTTTGAAATTGAAGCAGCTGTAACTTCGTTAAAAATGGACGAAATTTGAATTTAAAGAAAAAACTTTTTTCAAACCTCAAAATCTTTATTGTCTAAAGGTCTCTATATCTTTTGAGTTTCTGTAAGTTGGGTAATTTTTACTTATAGAAAACTACGAACTAAACAAAATGGGAAATTTTCTTTTTACTTTGTGAGTAAAGTATCCAAAACCAACTCTGCGAAAATTTTCGACTTTCTATCGTGAAAGTTTAAAATTTTACCTACAAAATATTATTTTTTAAAAATATTCTTAAGATTTTCTCAGCGTTGATATCAAATTTTTCTCAAATATTTCTTTCTAAAAATATTATATAATTAATTAAGTTCATTTTTTCTCACACAATATTGATGATTAATTATTCAGGTACCATTTCAAAAGCGGAATTTCTGGTTAAAAATTTCCCAAATCCCCCTCCCCCTCCCCCACGACTAGAATTAATTTTCTCAGAGGCTCGTTCGATTGTCAATAGTATCCTTAGCTTCGTAGTGCAATCCTCAGGATTAAACTTTCTATCAATGACCTCTGCTATACGGCACGCTTAATCAGGTTTTATAACATCCGTAGTTATGAAATTAGCCAATTATAGTTGTTCCTCGAAAGAATGGAACGACTGTGATTGGCCAGTTTCATAACTACGGATGTTATTAAATCCGATTAAGGGTGCCGTGTAAATGTAGTCAATGGTCCATCATACACGTTTGCCGGGACCAGCCCTTAGACACTGAACTATTCGACAGACTGCGCGCGAGCAAGCTGAGTGCGATCCCTGAAGTGGGGGATGAGAGGCGGCGTGCGAAGGGTGCAATTGGTGGTTGTGTCGGACGGGGGTAGACCGAGTCGGCGAGAGAGTAGGGAACGTAGGGTACGCAAAGGACCGTTGTACTGAGAGCCCATTAGGCACCCGGACAGCCGGAGAACGGTTTCTCTCATCTCGACACCTCGCCCAGCATCCCTCTGGTCCAGCGTCGTTATGGTCGTCTCGCGGGCTACCTCCGACCGGCACCGGCGATTTCTGAAGAAATGTACTGTCGCCTCTCTGTGTAGTATCGCTATCAATCTTGAAGGTTGAATTTGAATAAAGGGCTTGGGATAATAGTGAGATAAATCTATAATTCATAGGATCCGCTTTTGAATTAGGCAGTCTAACGTGGACTTTGCAAATTATGGACGTGGTTTGTCCTGACTTCGATGCGAAGAATGTCGCGAGTTTTGAATTTCCGCAATGTTGTAGTTTCCTAAGAGATCTTTCAAATCTTCAGACAATTAAAATTTAATTTAAAACATTTCAAATTATTTTATCATAATCTTGGTTTAAGATTTTTTATATTTCTTTGGAAATTCTCCTTGTTCTTCTATATTCTCTCAAAAGAATACGGAAGAATATTTTTATATTCTCTAGAATATAATTCTAATAATGTATTGCTATACCATTTTCACAGCGTTTGAAATAATATAACGAGATAATTGAATCACAGAGATGAAAATTCTTATAGTGTCTATTTTTACTGTTATTTCATTAGATCGAGAATGTCAACTGACGAGTATCCGTTTTTTTGGTTTCAGGGGAGGATGAGGAGTGGAGCGACTCGGAGAAGACCCCGTCGGTGAGCAGCGGCGTGGATGGCGGCGCCGGCGGATCGGCAGTGTCGAGCCCGGTAGCACCGCCAGTCGAGGAAGACTCGAGTCTGCCGCCCCCTCCAAGACTCAACCCCGCGTCATCTTCGATCAGTGAGGAGGATATCAAGCTGCGCCTCAGCGTGCTTTCGGAGAATACGAGACTGCGCCTAGTCAACCTCAACGAGGACATCGAGGTGCGTCGATTTCGTTAACTTCTAGTAACTTCCCAAGTAGAACGATTTTAGGTCACCATAATGTCACTTTGACGTCAAAATCAATCGTAACTGATCGAAAAGTGATTTTTAATAACCATTTCGGAATCATTTTGACACCATTTTTATGTAATGATGATTTTATGTTTCTGCTAAGATTAATTTCTATTAATTAAACTTTTATTAAAATTTAGTAAGTTTTCTGAAGTTGCATTTATCGATTTTTTTAAATTTGGAAATTTTAGACTCGATTTCGATGTTTTTACTAAAAAAAATAAATATAGAGAATAATATCAATTCTTAGCTCGAAATCGCAATGCAAATACAATAAAATTGGTAGAAATGAACGTGTAATTAATTAAGTCAAAGGTTAAAACTAGTTTATTAAATCGTTTAAAAGGGATTAAAATTAGTTTCTCATTAATATACAGTTCAGGAAACGTTTTGACTATACTTATAAGTTTTCTTCAGCCAAATAATTAATTACAACAGAAAATAATTAAAAGTTTGAAAACAAATTGAATGCATGAAATTCTTGATAATTAAAATGTTGAAAAGAGTCGATAATAAAATATAAATAAATATAAATAAACATAAATAAATATTTAAAAACGCAGGCTAGGGCCATAAGAGACCGCCATGCACCGTCCAGGAGCGTGCGGACGCGAGAGTCGAGTCCCAAGGACGTCGACGAGGAACAGCATACGACGAAAGAGGATGAGTGCCAACCGAGGCCGTCGTCCTCGTTGTCATCCACCTCCATCAAGAGGCGGGACTCCGTCTGCCGCAGGGACTCGGAGGACTCGATCGTCGCGGGGGAGACCAAGAGGATACGACTCGACGACGAGACAGCACCAAGACTGAGACTCAATACTAGTCTGGCGACGGATCCCGCTCTGCGACCCGCCACCGTCGCCGCCCTTACCGTGAAGCCCGAGAACACGTCGCCATCGAATCCGACACCGCCGCTTCCGGCCGGATTGCAGAACGGTGAGTAGAATCTGCGGTATGCACGACGCCTTTGTTTAGGAATGTGTAAAACAATCAAATTAAAAAATTTTTCTTGGTTTTATTTTTTTTAATCTTAGATAAACTTCAAAATAGAACTTTACAAAATACAAAAGTACACTAAAAAAAAAGTGTTTGGTATTTGTAGGGTCAAATAATCAACGTTAAAAACTCCATTTTTATATGTAGATATTAGTGCTATAATGTTAGTAATAATAATTATACTTATAATTTTATAAATAATAATTATAATACAAAAAATGTATATACTATAATTTATAATCGTTTTCGGAGCCAACTCTTTATGTGTACTTTTTTGTATATATGTAGATACTATACGTGTAATTATAATAATTATTAGTAATATTGTAGCAGTAATAGCTAAAATCAAAGCTTTTAATCATAAGTAATTATTCAATTATATAGTTACAAATATTATACTGAGCACTTTTCTCTCAGTATATAGATGAATAGGAGTTTCAAAATCCAGGAGATGAAAGCCTTTAAAATTTATAAAATCTAAAAAGGATAAGGTATAAAGGATACGAAATAAAATTTAAATCCAATTTTCGAGGTTCAAGTTTGGTATCCTCTTATTGTGTGGGGGATACTAAAGGATACTAACCAGGAAAAACTAAAACTTAATTGAACTTCGAAAATTAGATTCAAATCTTATTTCATTCAGAATTATACCATGTACGAAATTGTACCACCTTACCCTATAGGATAAGAAATAATGACTCGTCGTCAGAGACAATCTTGACTGAATTGATTTCCTCAGCGATCGCATCAGGTCGCCTGTTCGTCCTGCCGACCGACGGCAAGGAGACGATTACGGTGGAGCCAGCTAGGCCTCCGCCGACCGCCCTGATCTGCCCGCCGTGCGGCATCCGGTTCAGCTCGGCAAGCACCCTCGAGGCGCATCGCACCTTCTACTGCGCCCATCGACCGCGCGTGGATGAAGATGCGGCGAACGACGAGGACGACGACGGCAGCAAGTCTGGCGGCAAGTTCGAGGTACGGAAGGCGTACGCGTGCCCGCATTGCTCCTACAGTGCCGATAAGAAGGTGTCTCTAAATCGTCACATGCGGATGCACGCGTCATCGCCGGCGCCGTCGACAATACCATCATCGTCATCAGCGGCGGTGGCAGTGGTGACGAACCCGAACTCCTCGACGGGCAATCCAACAACGGCTGGTCAAACCACCGCGGCTAACGGTTCCTTGAACGAGGAGGCCGAGAGATACTGCAGGAACTGCGACATTCGATTCAGCTCCTTGAAGACGTATAGGTGGGTGGACGGAAGAGTAGAATATTGTGATTGTTATAGGACAGAGAAGCATCTTCGGATTTTACACAAGAGATAATTTGTGAAATTAAAAAAATATATCAAATATAAACTACCATAAATTATATAGTAAATGTGATTTATGAAAGTCAAATAGATGTCAGATTTTTAAGGTAACATATTGAAATTGTCGGGATTTTTTTTATCTTTAATGTTTAAAATTTTTAAAAATTGGAATTGAGAGAGTGAAAAATTCTATATAAAATTATAGATGAAAAATGTATATGTTTAAAAAATGTCTATCAAAAATTTTATAAATATATTTAAACAATAAATTAAATTGCAAGAACAATTTATTTTTTAATGAATCAATTTTTAAAACAAGGCTAAATTTTATGGTTTCTAAAACTTTAAGAATATGTGCGTGAATTATATAAGAAAGATAATTCATGAAATGGAACTTTTAAATTCTTTAATATCTTGATATTTGAAATTGTTATGATTTATATTTGATAAATTACAATTTTTAAAAATTAAAATTGAGACTAAAGAATTCTATAGAATCATTAACGCAAAAGTGAAATAATGTGTACATTTAAAAAAAAAGTCAATCGTGTTATAAAACATTTACTATAACTATAAATTTAAAGAGATATGAATTCTTAAAATTCTCCAATTAACGGGGAACTTAGATTTGTAATAATTCAGATTTTTTCAGAAGTAAATATTAATTTGAAAAATTATTCTAATTTAACGTAAGAAACAAGTTATAAATATTATCAAATTTTTTTAAGTGCTACAAAAATTATAATAATTTATTATTATTGTTTGTTTAATATTATTGTTTGTACTTATAAATATTAACGTTTTCTTAATTACAATTTAATCTGTTGCAGGGCGCATAAAACGCATTACTGCAGCACGAGGCACGTGGTGAAGGACACGTTGTCAACGCCGACGGCGACGCCGACATCCTCAGTGAAGGCGTCGCCGCCAACCAGTTCAAGTCCTGGTGACTCGCCACCCCCTCAGCCGTGCCTGGCACTGCCCACTAACCCCATTCTCATCGTGCCGTATTCGTTGTTCCGTGGTGCGAGCGTCCTCGCTGCGCCAGCACTTCCGGCTCCTGATACAGCGTGCTTCCTTCTGCCAAACGGTATCTTGAGGCTTAAAAATTACGCACGTTTATACATCAATAATATACGATAAACAATTTCTTTTAAAACAATTTCTGATTAAAAAATGAATATCTTAATATTTACCAATTATAAAGATGTGACTTTTTAACCCATTAAGGATCAATTAAGGACCGCTGGTCGATTTTTCGACCAAAAAAAAAATAGGTCAACTTTGGGTGAAAATTTTTGGCAAGTAGGTTCCTTAAGGGCTGCATAGTAGCTTGTCATTAAAAGGATTTTAAATTTTGAGAAAAAAAATTTGTCTTGGTTCTTAATGGGTTAAAGACACTATACATATGTACCACTAGATCTGAAAAAGTTATTTTATTTTTGATAATTAATAAGGTAATATTTACTTAACTTATTCATAGTAATAACTCGAAAATCACGTTTCTTTTAATTACGTATAATAAATTAACCTAACTAAGACTCCTTATAAATCAAAAAACAATGAAAGAACAAGGGCAGTAGGAGTCAAGCGCGGGAGATGTTGCGCAAATAACACGACTATCGTAGCGTGAAACTTCTTTATTTTACTAAAGCGCTTATAAGAATGCAGTAAAAAAGAAAAAAGGGGGAAAGAAATTTTGAAATTCTCGAAATAAAGAAAATGTAAAACTAATGTATCAAAAAATTTTGAAACTATAATTAATTATTCCGATGGTTAGGAAGCTCACCTTGATCACAAGATACCGCATCGCAAACATTACTCTTAATACTTCAAAAACAGGTACCTGTTCCTAACCATCGGAATAATTAATTATAGTTTCAAAATTTTTTGATACATTAGTTTTACATTTTCTTTATTTCGAGAATTTCAAAATTTCTTTCCCCCTTTTTTCTTTTTTACTGCATTCTTATCTGGATTTAATTCTGGTATTTATACTCTCGAGGTGAAGAAGATCACCATGACTAGTTAATAATTGTTATATTCTATGTATGTGAATGTATTAGTTATCTCTGAAGAAGGCTCAAAAATGAGCCGAAACATGTAAGCGCTTTAGTAAAATAAAGAAGTTTCACGCTACGATAGTCGTGTTATTTGCGCAACATCTCCCGCGCTTGACTCCTACTGCCCTTGTTCTTTCATTGTTTTTCTTTTAATTACGTCATTAATGAATGATATTATTAAGATATTTTCTGGAATACGATTTTACGTTTTCAGGTTCCCTTCAGCCAATGACGAGAGGCCTCGCTTCCACGGCCCAGAACGCTATGGTGGAGCCGCCGGCTGTCCTGAGAGCGGCGAATAAACCCTCGACACCGGCGTCAGTGGTCGCGGCGGCATCGACGTCGCCATCCGCCTCGGCGCCTCTCGATCTCAGCGTACGCAGATCGCCGGTGCACCAGGATGAGAAAGAAAATAGGATGTCGCCGGCACCATCATCTCTGCCGCCGCCTCCAGGCAGTCCTAGATCCAGAGGTAGCGGTAGCCCTAGAACGAGGTCCATCGGTCCAAATCAGACTGCCGCCGTTGCAGCACCCCCGCCTACGGAGCTCGCCCTGAGACTCGCTGAACTGCCGCCACCACCTGTTCCCGGGGTGCTTGTCAAGCAGGGTGTCTCCAGGTAAGCAGCTGCTGTTTCTACCAATTTGAATTGGAATTGAATTTTTTACTTTTATTGATTTCTTAGTCTGTTTATTGTGAGAATAAATATAGTTTTTATTTTTCTAACATTATTTGGTTTGTATAAGTGATCACTTCTTTTCTTAAATTTACATTTATCGAACTTGATTTAATATTTGGAATTGAATTGAGTTTCCGGAATTCTGAAAGTCTTCAATTTTTGTATCTCTATGCATATAATTTATTTTTTTTTATAATTCTTTATCTTGTAATTATAATTACAGCTTACTAGAAAATTTATACTGAATTATTATTTGTATCATTACCACTTTTCTATCAAACTCTTCATATAATATATACTAATTATTAAATATAATTTATTTATTAATTATTACTTCAATGTTAATTATTGCACCCATATTAATTATTACATTCAATAAGGTTATTGTTATTATTATCTTGAAAATATTACTTTAAATTTTGGGATTTAAAAACCTCCCTCTAGGATTTTAGAATATCTTCTTTTTTTTCCATTTATTCTTGAATCGCAAATTTAAAGAACTCTTTTCGATCTTTAAGATTTCATGAGATTAGATTCTTGGAACTAAAGTCGTCTGCCTTTATACAGGTGCAAGGAATGTAATATCGTGTTCTGTCGACATGAGAACTTCGTCGCTCACAAGAAGCACTACTGCCAAGCGAGGGAGACGACGGTGAGCAACAGTTCGCCGCCTCCTGACGCGACCTCACCACCCCTGGTCCAGCTCATCTGCGCCCAGTGTGGCATCAAGTTCGCTTCCATAGACAATCTGGTCGCCCATCAGGCATTCTACTGTCCCAAGAGGCCCGAACCCCAAGAGCACCACACACGGTGTTCTAAATGCAAGGTAAATTCTAAAGTAAATAGTACAAAGGAACTTTAAGGAATTGAATTTTACAAGATACTTAAAAACATATGTGAAAAATTTTAGGAATGTAAAAGAAGGCAACATGAAGAAGAATATCGAAATTTATAAGAATTTTTAAATTCTTTTAAATTCAAAACATTAAAACTTATTAAACGCCTTTTAGAAGTGTCGATTTTTCTTTGGAACACCACTGGTGAAATTTTTTTTCAGAATTTTGTATGAATTAGAATATCTCAGAAATGAGAAAATCTACATTTTTAAAGACGTTTTTATATGTGTGAATTCTAAAATTTCTAAGATTGCTCACATTCTATAAATTTTCTAAAAAAAAATTTAAACTTTTTTAGATTTTTTAAGAGTTTATCAAAAATTATATAATTAAAAATATTTCAGAATTCATATAAAGAATTCTAGAAAAAATGTGTAGACTTTCTGGACATTTCTGAAAAGTGTTCTAATTTGCATCAAAAGATCTGAGAACTTTTCTAAAAAGTTATAGAATTTAATTCTGAAAAATTTTGAAATTTATCCAAAAATTCTGGAAAATTATATAAAGGATTCTGAAAAAAATTTTCATCAGACATCTCTGAATTTCCGATTATCCTGATCGTCGCTTCTTCGAAGGCTTTAACGAGATATAATGGCTTGTCACAGGCGATAATAGAACCCGGCAGCAGTCATACCTGCGCCAGCGGCGCGTCCGGTGGCTGGCGGTGCCCGGTTTGTGGCGCCGTCAGTCCCACAGCCGGTGCCGCTCAGCGTCACATGGACGCCCACCAGGGTGTCAAAGCCTTCCGGTGCACGATTTGTCGTTACAAGGGCAACACTCTGCGCGGCATGAGGACCCACATTAGAATGCACTTTGAGAAGCGTGGTACAGATCTGCAGGTAGATTTTTCTTCTTGCCTTTAAACTTCAGTCGCATTCTTTGTTTCTGTAATAAATAACTGTATAAATAAATAACTAATTAATTCTTTCTAAGTCTAGGAACGAACTGAACTTTAACAAAACACATTTGCTGAAGTAATATTGAAAAAGAATCTTTGAAATGTCCCTGCAACATTACATTGCAATGTCGCCGTAAGCTTCCATGCTGTAATGATCAGTATTTTTTGTAGAAGTAGATCAGATTAAATTCTTTTTTGTAAGAAAATATTTTGAAGATGCATCTTTAACTGAGAGATTCTTACGAAACATTCTTTGTCCCAGGAGGAGAATTATATAACATGCGTGCTCGATGACGAGGCGACATTACCGACGCCGGAACCTGCAGCCGCCACGACGCCAGAGGAAATTCCCGCAGAGATCCAAGTAAACGGCAAAACAGAAATAAGAAAGAGCCCGCAACCGCCGCCTCTGCCACCGCCTCCGCCGTCATTACCACCGTCGCTCACCAGCAAGGTGAAGCAGGAGCGCGAGGATACGCCGCCGCCACCGGACGAAAGTCTGGACAGCACCAAGAGCGGGCCGCGCTACTGCCGCTCCTGCGACATCAGCTTCAACTACCTGAGCACCTTCATCGCTCACAAGAAGTTCTACTGCTCGAGTCACGCCGGTGAGGCGAGCAATAACAATAATAACAATAATAATAACAATAACAACGCCAGCGGCCACCCGACGACGCCGCCGACCGGCAGGACCGAGGCGTCGGTGCTCTAAATCTCCGAAGTTCCGCAGGTGTGACGACATGTCTCCCCGTTCGTCTCTCTTCCCGGAGTATCTCTTATTGCTTTTTAGGACGCTTTGAAATAATCGAGAATAATACTTCGAGACTCTTAATCTCTGAGATTTTTCTATTCTTGCTTCGAGAGTTAATTTTTGATCAGATAAGAAAGGAGAAATATTGTATTCTAAATAATTGTCGCAAAATATTTCGAATAAGTTTTGCTACTTATGTAAAACGTCATATTCTTGTTATCACTATGATCTAATTAATTTAATCCTGGGAAATATTTACGGAATTGTTTTAGTGAAATTAGGACTAATTACCTCCATGGAAAGAAATAAGGTGTGCTTATGCGCATATTTCTGAACAGTAAGATTTTGTTCCAGCGGCGGTCATTTTAGAAACCTAGAGCGCCTTTCCATAAATACAGAAATTTAAAAATGGCGGCTGTTGATACGATGCGCAGAACGATACGAAAATGCATTTTCGGTATAAACACACCTTATTTCTTTCTATGATTACGTCTATTTCTGTATATCGCATTTTTTAACAGAGAAGAGAAAGAGAGATGAAACGTGTCGAAAATGCGATGATTAAAAACGGGGACTGTTTATTGTTGCCAGTTTATACATAATATAATGAGCGACTATCAGACTTCTTACAATTAGTTGAATATTACGTTGTGTGATTTTTGTTGACCCAGGGAATCGTTTGTACTTATAAGCCGAAGGTATCTATGTGTAAATATATATACACTCACATATATATATATGTATATATTTGTTACAATTATATCATTTCAAATTGCACTATAAAATATTATCAAATATTTCAAAGTGTTTTCCGAAATGTAATACATATAATTGTAATATCTATATATATAACATTGTATAATTAGACATCATCTTGCACCTGCAAGAATGGACGAGCTTGCAGGGAAGAGTTGCAAACAGAGTCATGACTAGCGTATCACAATTAGACATGTTAATAAATATAATCTACGGTATATCTCAATAATGAAATAAAATTTAACGAAGTTGATTTGGAGAAGTTTTAATTTCGATCTTTCGTGATAAGTTAGTATTGTTTATCTATTTCCTAATTATTTAATTTAATTTGTAAAATAATATATTGACATATTTATTTTCTGTTACGTCATTTTCTATTTCTCGTTTCTTATCATTTGTCATTTATTGTTTGTTAATCTGTCAATTAGGAATTCGAGAATTAATCGATTGTTTTATATGTTAAATAAAAGCCTTTGACATAAATTAAGTTATATCTAAAAATATATATCCAGCGTTTTATATATACATGGCTCTGTTCGCAAGGAATTTTTTGAGCGATCGTCGCATCATTTCGATGTTCTCGGGAGACAATTTTTGAGAGTGTCAAAAAGAATCGGCGAGACGCCGCATCGTCCTGTACATATAAAAATTGGCGAAAAACAAAGTGGAGAATGAAAAAAAAAACGACTCGACGCCAATGTGATCGATCGATCCGGGCGTTGCTGTGCAATCTCATGACTCTCCAATAATCTCGTAGCATTAATAATCGACATTACCTTACGAACGAAATACGATGAGTGTAAAATGTTGTACAGTAGGCGAGTAGAGTATTACGGAACAGTAGTAAACGATCCTGATGAATGATACCAATCTCAGCTTGTGAATCTGCTAAGTTACGTTGCGCAATGTATGACATTTAATATATATATATATATATATTATATATAAATAAAAAATGGTTACGCATGTTCGCGAAAATCGCGCCCGCGTTTGCGATAATAACGTGAATGCGTCGATAAATATCCATCGGGAGAATTTAAAGTGCATTTAATAGAATACACCATGAAATATGAATTTACAGTGAGATCTATTCATGATGTATTATCTTTTAATCAAAATTCATTGCTGGCTATTATTTATCTGTCATGATCTTTGAAGAAACAGAAAGAGATAGCTGAAAGAGAAAAAGGAAAATTTAATATATTAAATTTAATTTTATAGAATTCGAAATAATTAGAATATTTAATAATTACGCGTTCTATAATATAAAATATAATTTTTTTTTAATGTTTTATGGGTTATCAAAGTTTTTAATATAATATAGTTGAATATGTATATATAACATAAATCTAAAAAAATCTACAGATTAAATTACAAAATTTTATTAATTTTTTAAGTTACTAGGAATCAATCGGAAAAACTATTTATTTTTCTTGACAAATATGTATATATATAATTTTGTAAATTTAATATTCTTATTTAAATCATGATAAAGGAAGGATTGATTCTTCAAGTTTTATCGAGAAAGACGAATTAAAATTTCGATATTTAGAAATATTTTTAGAAAAACCTGAGATGGCTTGTATATATATTGCAGCAAACGCAATTTGGCGACAAGAAGGCTAACGATTTCCAAACTTCTTCGCTTAGCGTTATCACCTTGGATTTTTATCGGCGCACTCGGATCCGTGCACCCCAAAATCAAAAGCGTCATACGTGCTCGCGAAGCGGAACGAGCCACCCCTTCGTTGCAAGGCGCGTGTAAATGTAATATAAATTAGAATTAAGGCCAGTGTTACGTGTATACGCAATGTACTACTCATATCATACGACGAGCTCGTTAATTAATTAAAAAGGAAAAAAACATAATGAAAAAATGCCGATCGTTGTCCGCGCGGCGAATTCCATGGCGCGAGAGAGAGAGAGAGAGAGAGAGAGAGAGAGAGAGAGAGAGAGAGAGAGAGAGAGAGAGAGAGAGAGAGAATGAGTGTGAGATAAAGAAAGACTTCGAGAAGAAAAATCTTGAAGAGGATTTCTCGCAAGAGACATAATCTCGTCACATCGACTGGATTTACTCCTTTCTCCCCCCTCCCTCCCCCAATCATTATAGACTTTGAGATAATTTCCTTCGAGCCACGAGATACTTTTTGTTGAACGTTATGTTGTTAATCGCGTATCGTATGTGTGTGCGAATGCATGCGTGTGTATGAGTGACGAAAACGATTTGTAAATCCACGCAACTGGTACTTCCAACAACTTGTTATAATACGCTATAAATCTGGTGTATATCATTACATGCCATATCCACGACGAAGTACATTCTTTCTTCAAACAACACAGGCACATCCCCCGCAACATCCTCCCGGGGATCGATCGCTTAATCTTCTCCTGGAAGCGTGCGGATCCTTTTGCAAACTAGACGAAACCTCGTAGTTCCTTTTCAACTTTTACAATTACGTTCAATCAATGATTTCTCTATCTTTTGGTCCGTATTATAAAATAAATTGTGAAATTAGATTGAATTATAAATTTCGACTTGAAACGACGAAAAGTATTTTCCTCGTTGATTTTGCGTGATCGATCTCCTTGTCTCTAGGCTTACTTCTTTTTGCTGTTCTTATTTTGATAGACGGATTTTACACGCGAGATATATATCTATAGAGAAAAGTCTGTAATAAATATATATAAACATACAAATAAAACTTTATGCCATTTACAATTCACTTTTTTTTGCAAAGAAAAACATGAAGAGAAATTAAAATGTAAGCTAAAAGGAATGTTTATTTCGAAATACATACTCAACAAGATGTTTGATATATAAATTATTTAGAAATATGCGAAGGTACATATTAGCGATCATTCAACAGAATTCAGTCACATGTATTACATTAAATTAGTGCATATTATAAAAGCTACTATACATGAAATCAGCAAATGTAAAAGCACATAAATATTTTAAACGATTAAACATTCAATAATATTGTTATGTAAGAATGTAATGTATTATTTCACTGTCATATTATATTATTTCACTGTCAGATTATATTATACATTTAGGTACTTTATATAAAATAGCCTTTAATATGCATTATCCAATGTAGTGCGACTGATCGAATTCATCATGAATTACTTTAGTTTGAAAAATTTTCAAATTACATAACTAGATGTCTTCATCATTTATTGACAATGTATTGAATTTCTCTTCCGTCCTTTCATCATCTGATGTTTCTTCATTACATGATATTTCGTCTTCTATTTCTTCCTTATCTGAAAAGCTTTTCTCCAACCAATCGCTGTGTGAACTACTGCTCTCTCCGTTTCTTCTTTTGCGGATATATCCATAATTATCTATAATCCTTCTAAATTCGTCACATTCGTTTTCGTCGCCGGAAATGTCGAGATAATCATCACTGAATGATGATTCAGATGTACGATCAGGATCCGTATCGGGATAATCATTTTTCCAATTTGATTCTGCATTAGAATCTGAAGATTCATCTTCTTCTTCAAACTCTACTGAGTCTAAGTAATCTGGCCGTCGCACCAATATATTATCCTCATCATTCTCAAACCATAAGTCGTTAGAAGTTTGTGCACAATACAAATCGTATACATAATTGTGAAGCTCCTGAAACATATACCTTATATTATATATCTGTTTATACATTTTATTTACATATACATTTTACTTCATTCAAATATTGATTCTATTTTTAATTTATGTCACACATTGTAAAAGATGATTTATACGTATATAATTTTTCTATTTATTTCTATTTCTTATCTACTTCTCGATTTAAAGAACTACTTTATTTTTGCATAATCTCTTATTTATCTCAGCATTTATTTTTAATATATAAAGTTAATATAAAGTACTTTTCTTTGTTACAACATATATATACATAAGTTGAAATAAAACAAATTTTACTTATTTCACTCCAATTTATTGTACCAGTATATACTAATTACTTCGAGAACGAATAGGCCTGTATTATAGAAGTGCTTGATATATTCTAGTATTTAAAACATCGTGTTCTTAAGTTGAATATAATAAGAATTTTATTAATTTATGATATATAAACTGAAGAACACAAATTGACAAAAAATGATAGAAAATTATATTTGCTGGCTGGAAACTGTTAACAGCCACTGTATATCATAAATGCCAGTGAGCAAATTTTTTACAAAAAAAAAATTTTGATTGTCATGACTTGCCTCTGGGACATCTAGATCCTCCACTCGCTCTTCTATTGTCTGATGACGAACACTAAAGAGGTCTTCCACATCTATGAGTACCATATTCATATCCTTAAACTCTGGATCATTTGATGTATCTAGTGATTGATAATCGGTAACTTTGTATCTGTCATCTATCCATTTGGGTATTTTTCCAGAAATATTTGCAGGATAATCACTATCAGATACTCTCTTGACACCGGCTTTGAGATTTTCTATGTCCAGAAACTTGCCCACATGCTTCGTGACATTTTCGGTCTGAAATATTCAATATACCTTTTAAGTTTTTCAATAAGACGTTTCTCTTTTCCCTCCTTTTTCTTCTTTCTTTTTTGCTAATATAATTTTCTTAAGAGTCAACAGATTAGAGCTCTAGATTTAAAATAAACTTTACAATAAGCTTAGATTTAATTTTATGTATCTAGAGCTCTATAGGCAGGTAGGTTTTATGTATCTAGAGCTCTATGACAGGTAAGAGTCCGATCGAAATTTCGGTTTCGGTCAGTTTCGGTAAAAAATCAGGGTTTCGGTTTGATTTCGATTTCGGTCGAACTTAAGAGAAAATTTCGGTGAGTAAATCGAAACTGTACAAATTGCAACGCTCCAGTGAGCGTTCAAAAAACAACTGTTTAATTTTAATTATTAACTCGTTGATTAAGCTAAGACAATTTGAATATAAACTTTGATGTGATCCTAATAATAACTGTGATTTGATTTCTTTAAAAGTTGTGGATGCTATGTTATCATAGTTAAATAATTTAATAAAATTTTGTTTTTTAAAGAGTACATTTCATAATTTCTGAAAATCGGTTTCTTTAGAATTAATCCAAAAATATCGATTTCGACTTGGGCCGAAAAAAATATGACTCCGTTAGCTTCTCTCTAGTTTTTTTTTTAACTTATCTAGGTTTCGGTTTCGTTTTCAGGTGAAATTGAGTGACAACCGAATATTCATTTTCGGTTTTGGCCGAAAGTCAAAATATATTTCAGTCGGACTCTAATGACAGGATAGTATTTTTATAATAATAGTAACAATAGTGATAATGATATATAAACTACTATAATAGTATGATACTTATAGCCATTTTACAATGTACTCTTTGTTTCCTGTTTCTTGTTGTGTGTCTGTTTATTTCTTGCCTTTTTGACCAAAAGTTTTGGTCAAAAAGGCAAGAAATAAACAGCAAGAAACAAGAAACAAAAAGCACATTGTAGAATAGGCTTTAGCTTCATAAACAAAGAAACCAACAAAGTCTCAATATTATTTCTAGGAGATAAAAAATAACATGAAGACATACATTGCACCCTAAGGAGCAGATCATTTTATATATTATAACATTTTTAAATGCAAAATTGCAAAATTCTACTTTTTAACAGGCACTGTTAGGTTCGTCAAATATAAGTAAATAAAAGAACAAATAAAAGATCAAACTAACAAAGACTCCTTATAAATCAAAAGAAATTGGAAAGAATAAGGGCAATAGGAATCAGGTGCAGAAGACGTCACGCAAATAATACACCCATAAAGCGTAAAACTTCTTTATGGGTGTATTATTTGCGTGACGTCTTCTGCGCCTGATTCCTATTGCCCTTATTCTTTCCAATTTCTTTTGATTTATAAGGAGTCTTTGTTAGTTTGATCTTTTATTTGTTCTTTTATTTACTTATATTTGACTCCTATTGCCCTTAGGCTAGGTCCACAACCTTGCTTTAAGAAGCATTAAGTCATAAGCAGAAAGAGATTAAGTAACAATAATTTCTGTCTTTAAATTGTTTTTGCGGTCTTTAGGCTTTAACCATTAGACTTAAGCAAATTGAACAAAACCCAATTCTTACGGCCTAAAAGCATAAGTTCTGTGGCCGATATATCGTCACTTACAACTTAAAGCTTACGGCTTACGGCCCCTTAAAGCAACAAAGCAAGGTTGTGGACTTAGCCTTATTCTTTCCAATTTCTTTTAAATAAAAAAAGTTTCATGGAAAAATGTTTCTTCTATGCAACAATATATGTTTCTGCAATGCAAATGAGATGTGAATCTGTGAATCAGTTGACTCGCTTCTGTCGACCATTAAGGACATTAAGTAAATCTTACAACAGTCTTCTTAAGATTCTAGAACAGTTTCACACAATTAATTACAAATAAACCAACCTAACCTAAAAGGTAATCTATTCTTTACCAGTGAAGTACATCTTTAGAAGAAAATTTGCGATCAAATCACAATTAATCGCATTAACAAAAATATAAAAATCATCAGATTCTCACCGGATCTGTGAGGGTGCCAGCAAACTGGACGACGGTTTCCACAGGTGAGGCGTCCGAAAGGGGGACTTCGGTTTTTGGGCGTTTACATGCAATTACCAACGCGTCCAGTGGAGAATCGGTATTCTTGCGTTTTACACGTAAAATTGCAGCCATTTTCAATGTGAAATGTAATGTCAAGTCACGATAATTCACATTAATCAATGCACAATACAGATTAAAGTAAAAAGTAAACGTTAGACATTCGAGATCTTTTCGGATTTGGGATGGCTTGCTTTATGCTTTGCTTTAATCTAACCTAACCTTCGTCACAGTAGGTCTGTTCGCATTGCTTGACTACACTACCGCCAGTACATCCATTTTTGGTTTGCAACTACGTGACTACATACATTTTCTGACTTTGTCGATAAAATCGTATCGTCGAAAGTGGTTCGTGTCTGTACATTCATAGGATAGAAGCGTGCCAACTATCCCTCCATATGAAAAGAAGAGAAGATTCTCTCATATGAGAGAATAAATTTTTCTCGTTAAGGGGATGCTGGAGTGACGGCCGAACTTGATCGATGTCGATAAAATAGATTTTGTATCTTCCGCTTACGCCCTCTTCAGGCTTAAGCCTGATTTATAATGGCCGTAACCGTAAACTTATGCCGGTGCCGGTAAAGTTCAACCATAGGATTTCAATGCTTTCGTTCATACTAATATTTGTTCAAATTGCCAAATCCGAAACAGATCGAAATTGACGGACCAGAATTACCATATGTTCTAGTAGCGGATGAAGCTTTCCCGTTAAGGACGTTCATGATGAGGCCATATCCGCGAAGTGGAATCCGCAAAAGAAATAAATTTGCGCAACAGAAAACGGCGGAATCGGTGGAATAAACCCACGACCAATCACGAGCGTTCCGCCAATTCCGCATTGCGCCAATTCCGCATCATGGGACTTCATCCTAAAGCCCAGTGTCCACGATGCTAGAAATCCGTCCGAGATCTCGGATGAAGAAAGAATTGACCAATCGCATTGATCATGTGACTAAATTGTTTAAATGTAATTGGTTAATTCTTTCTCTCTCCGAGATTTCGGACCCATTTCTAGCATCGTGGACACAAGGCTTAAGACACACTGTCAGTAGTAAAGATCTATAATATATGTAACGTAAAATACAAATTTTACTGACAGTATACACGGTCGTAGTAGCACTTTTCGTTATGATCCAATACCATTTTAGGTTACATAATGTGTCAAAATGTGTTATGAATACATAAACATATATTGCACATACATATATGAGTAACTACTTCATCTCTTTTTGCTAAAGAAATAAGTTTTGTATGCTGAAATATATAGATATTAGTGACATGTATTTATATATACAATAATGTACTTATATATACAATATTAGAATATTACATATATGAGTATTACAATCGTATGAATATACAAACATTAGAGATAGAAATTATTTATGCTGATATTTTTATGCAGATATTCCCTACGTTTATTATATGCAAAATATTAAAATTTTCTATATATGATGTGTGTATATATACATATATATACTATATGTACATATATATATTCTGTCACTACGTACATTTTGTCTTCACATATGTATAAATGAATTCAAGTATATTTCCAAACAAAAAAAGTACTTTTCCACATTTGAATAATTTATAAGGATATCATAAGATCTTCAAATTATGATCTTAAAGCTTACAAGAGAAATGACAGCAAAAGTATATATGGACGCACTTCTTATCGCTCAGGAATATGGGTCAACGCTATAACACCTATTTTCTACGAACAGTGTGTACGTCGGTCCGAATTTCGAGTCAAGGAACTTAATCCTTATAACTTGGGACTGGACCACGTGCGATCTCTGAAAAGCAGGGGAAATGACTACGAGGTCTTAGGGTCTAAAAAGTGAATTAAAAAAAGATATGTAGGTAATATTAATTATAACATTTAAAGTTTATTAATTAACAATCTATTGTTTATGTGTGAAGGTTACATAAATGTGAGTTGTACATGATTGATTTTGTAGATAACCGTTTAATAGTTTTACTTTTTAAGAGCTCCAAGAAAACGCATATGAAATTATATAATATAATGTAAAATGATGTTTCAAAATTTTCATTAGTCTTTCTCTATATTAGCATAGATTTGGAGCAATAATTACATGAAACAATCCATTATTATAAGGGCAAACTTATCGTTTAATAAAAGTAAATAATAATTCTATTACAAATTATTAATAGTTGAAAGAAAAGAAGTCATTAAATCTAGTTTACAACTTAGAAAGTGATAGTTAATCTAACTAAAAATTACTGGTTAAAATCACTAAAAATTAATTACATTTTTGTGCCGCTAGTGTTTCGAAAATTGAGACTCTCGTGAGACGAAACGAGACGAGACCAAAATATAACGGTGAGACATAAATTTCGAGAGTCTCGGTCTCGTCCCGAGAATCTCGTCTCGTCTCGTTTTTTTGTTTTCTAGCCATACTTCTCATGTGTCAATATGTAAATATTTATACGTGAGAAAATATTATTAATAACACAGGTCAACAAGGTTTTGTTGTTGGGAAGCTGTGGGTCATTTCCGACGTAATTTTCTGCGTAGAATCCGAATCTGAAATCAGAATTGGCCTATCACGTCAGGATTTTGAGATATTTGAGGATATATACTCGAAAAATGCGTTTTTTTGCTATTTTCGAAGTTATGATCATTAGAGTTTTCCACGTCTAGTGAAGAAAGAAAAACCGATATTTGTCAATAAACAAACAACTTATTATTTTTTTTATACACACCTGCAAAATATCCTTTTTTATGCATTCAGGTGCTTCGTTTATCGAGCGAATTTCGAGCATCCTAAAACTTTCAGCGAGAAAGTTGTTCATTCGGATATGAACAAATGTTCTGGAAAGTTTCATTTTCATTGCATTAATAAGTTTAAAACTAATGATTTGTTTAAAGTTGGTAGACGCCTTGCACTCAGAGCCGCAGCGCACAAGACGCGCTGTCCGTTATTCAAGGTCCTAATATATAAACAGTCACAATTGTGACTGTTTGCTGTCTTAACAATGGCCCCGCGTAAGTGTTTAAATGATCCTAACAGTTTTTGTTATATTTGTGGTCGTTTCACGTTTGTTAAGAACAGGAACGAAAAAGACGGGAAAAACGGTTACGCAAGTGGGTTAAAATGCCCGTAACTTGGCGAAAAAAAATCGTAGGTAGTCGATCAATATCTCATTTTGAAGGGTAAGAATATTACTAAATGATGCAAATAGCACAAAAGACCCAAAAAATTGGTTGCGTCCTGTACATAACCTCTAAAGTAGCATAAAAACGCATTTTTCGAGTATATATCCCCTAATATCTCAAAATCCTGACGTGATGGGCCAATTCTGGTTTCAGATTCGGATTCTACGCAGAAAATTACTTCGGAAATGACCCACAGCTTCCCGACAACATCCAAGACCCCCTTTTTTGTAGACCTGTGT